AACTAGGCAGGTTAGAGTAATTAGGCAAGTTATTATATAATGATGGTTTGTTCTGTAGATTATCGAAAAAAAATTAGCTTATGGGGCTAATAATTTTGTCCCAAAAATGTTTTTTAAAAAATGAATAACTGCTTTTATTCTAGCCTAAATAAAACAAATAAGACTTTCTCCAGAGGAAAAAAATATTATCAAACATAGTGTGAAAATTTCCTTGCTCTGTTAAAAATAATTTGGGAAATATTTAAAAAAATAAAATCAAAAGGGGGCTAATAATTCTGACTTCAACTGTATATATATCAAAAGATCAGAAATTTGAAGATACTACAGAATTTTTATTCTATATATAAATATATTTTAATCTGTAATACACACACATATACATACACATACATACATACATATATATATATATATATATTTATATATATATATATATATATATATATATATATATATATATATATATATATATATATATATATATATATATATATATATATATATATATATATATATATATATATATATATATATATAAATGTATTTGAGGCAAAGATACATAATGCAAAAAAAAAATCTAAGATTTTAATGATTATATTTTACAGTAAAATTAAAAAAAAAAATCAAACGTACATTTTCAGTGTTTTAGTTAGTTGTTAATCAATCTTTTAAATGTTAAAGATTAAATTTGTAGTTTGGACAGCATAAAGTACGCTTTTCTTATCAATAACGTGTGTTTGAGTTGTTTTTTTGCATAATACATATTAAGAAAAGGCACCTATTTGGTGGAATGTGTTATTACTAGTTTCGTATTAGTTATTATTATTAATTACTCTTTATGCTTATTTTCTAAAAACATATTTATTATAAACTCTAGTAACAAAGAATAAAAAACACGTACAGTAGCATTTGCTGCACCACAATCAAAAATTCATGAATTTTTAATGGGCTTTAGTATGGGGGAAATTTGACCCATGGATCACAGGTGAGGAAGCTGAGAGAAGCCAGAAATATCTCTAACAAACACCACATTAATTTTATAAATAGCCTGAGTGAATTGAGCAGTCAAATATTTTGTATAATAACTGCAGAATAGCCTCACATACTGTTATATCAACGTAAAATGGCGCCATCTAATGATATTTCCGACTATGGCGATTGGAAAATAACAAAAAA